TTTCAAAGGCTGAACAGCTTTTGGGTGAGTCTTCAGTATCCTATTCATCGCTAGCAGTCCAAGGTATTTCACTAAACATTGGTAACAACGACTGATCGAATATATTTATACGTATGCATGACAGCACATGAAGCCGTAAACTTCAAACAATCAATATCGATGACCGATTGTCCTTTTGGGTAGCGGATGCCGACACATCAGGCAGTGCCTCCAACGTCCCGATCATGTGCCAGCGTTTGAGCTTCAGAAAAAAATAACCTGTCCAAGATCATAGTACGTCAAGGCACTTGCCTCAGGTTGTTCCTGGATGGTCCAGGCATTAACAACACACACCCAAACCGTAACCAGAAACTGATACAATATAAAAAGTAAAAATGTACGGAACCACCTAACTTACGATTTTGATCAGAGTCTTCGATCAGCACGCTTAACTTCTGCACACATAACTAAAATGAACGTAAAAACTGAAGCAACAGAAAACAATCAAATAACAACGAACATACCTGTATACTAGCAATATGATCGCCAGGATTTTCGGAAGATATGGAGATTAAAACTGAAATTCAATGTCCAACTCAGCTTTGGCTAATATAAACTACATGAAAGGAACACGAACCTGCAATGACCGTGTTGATGCACTCGTACAGCAACGACATAGCAGACGTGCTAAAAACGGGATTAAACGACTAACCATCGATCAGTTTCATTCATCACTAGCACAGTAACTGCGAGCTTGATTTTACTCTGATTACACGGAGTAATTGTACCGCCTTCGTTACGTCCATCTGCCAACGGATCATTTAAGTACACCACGGTTCCGCTGTATTTTACATCCGATAAGGATTTCGAGTTTTCTGATAATAACAACGACGGATGGAAGAGAAATAAAACATACTGAACCAGACGTAAGAGGCCCGACTAAGTGACCGCTTCATCTTTCTGGCCTGGCCAGTTAAGAAACAGTTAGAAAAGCGGTATAACAGATTGAGTATTGTTGGTTCCGTGCAAGCCCGACAAAGATGGAGATTTGTACATCCAATGAACTAAACTCTAACGCATATTCTGCAGAATCAACGAGCCAGCGGCGAACATGACACTGCGAAAGCATGCTGATTGTAAATACGATTTAACTTTTTTGACTTTGGACCCGTTGCTGTAACCGTAGCTGCACTATTGATTCATAATAGCGAAAACCAAACAAATATCCATGGTCATAACTTTATTTCCTAGTCGGTTCTGCTATCAGGCCAGTAAACCGACCGATCTTATGAGTGCAAATCATCGTGGCAAAGTGACAAAAAAGTTGACTTTCAACATCGACGGTGCAGGATTCAAATGCACAAAAAGGGCTATCTTTGTCACGGCACCACGAAATCCTTCGAAGAAAGAATTTACCCAATATTACTTCAATGCGACCAGATGAAAAATGGGTAGCAAGTGGTTGACCTGCGAAGAACAGAGACAATGTGCTATTATGGTGTAGCTACACTCATACGGACAAGCGGTTCAACGCGAGCATCCTTTGTGGCTGCGCTTCGCTTTGACGCACCTGATCACTGACTGTCAAGTACGACAATTAGCACAAAGTGTACACTAGAAAAATGCTCGCACGAAGTGAGCATAAAAGCATGAGCGACAGCTCTGTGTCACTCGTTACGTCAGTCTGAATCATCGTCGCACTTAAGTCCCTGCATTCGTTTATCGCAACAGAAGAAGAGCATTTATTGTGCATGCGAATTTACAGCGCATGAAGCTCAAGCGTAGCTACCCGCACGCAGCTTGCAGTCATACTGTTGATCGACCTCTAATGCCGGAGAATGCGGTGTGGGCCTGTCTGCTGACATGACACAGTAATCCATCGGCAAGGACCGTATGACATTACTGTTGAAGTAACGTATCATAAAAACCAAATGGCACAAAAAAGATAAAACCGGCAGTTCTGCTTACCTGTTGATCAGGTTCGTCAACGGCTCGATTAGTTTCTTGCCCAGGCGAGGCTCCAGAGGAGTGAGAGCACCAAACTTAAGAATATTCATTCGATTAGTTACTGCATTGTTCATCTCCTAAGCATACCATTTTAATGATTTTAATAAGCATCCAGTTGTTCGAAAACGTGCTCATGAGACGAAAAAACGTCGGCGAAAGTGAAACGTAGTTTTTTGGATTCTTCCGCGCCAGCTCACAAATCACATTCACAGCGGCCGACTGAACGCCTAAACCGCATGTGTTATTAATTAAATAAGAGCAACAGATGCCCCTTCCCCTAAAAAAAGACATCTGTTGCCCCTACCAGGATCAGGGTCATCCAACTTTTCTTTCAGGCGCCCAAATGTAGGCTGTAGCGCATCGGGGAACTTGAGAAAGATTTTATAGAGCAGAATTACCGCCCTTTTACGTGTATACGGTTTGGAGGAGTTAAGCTAAAAGCAAGGAGGTAAGCTTTCCGATCGATCCACGGTCTACCAGTTCGACACCTACCAACGCAACGACGTCATTGGTCAGATCGCGGGCCAAATCAGGGGACACGAAGCAAGCAAAACCGGCAAGCGCCACGCTCGCTTCATACATGTTCGAACTGCTGATATCCTTGCGGATAAGATTAGTTGCCAGCATCAAGACATCGGTGTTTTCGCTGAAGCTCTGCGAAGCCACGAAATATCCGAGTCTCTACAACGAGAAAATACAAGCTACCACCAATCAATCAACCTATGCCCACCTTGTGAACAAACTTTGAAGCACTCATCACTTCAATGACGTTGAACGATGCCCATGATATGTCGTATCCCAACATTTGAAGCTAAAATCTCAAATATGTTACAGAAACAACATCGGGTGGGTATTTTCGTTCTCAACTCTTAGGTTCATACGCCGGATGTATTTTAATTGTTCGCTCACTGTTTAAGATTATTCTGACAAACCGGATTGCATTTATGTGCAAGTTCATGTAGTAACTATCTAGCAATACTTGTAACAGTTACAATAATACGTTCGAACAGAACTGGGATCGCTTCCTACATTTCATGTTCAGCAGTTACCCAATCATATTTCACTTATATTGTTATCAACTTTCTTAGAAGAGTTATGTTTTAGAGCAACTGACGCCCTCTCCATGGATATGCAAAGTTAATATATAAAATCTACCGTACATATCTAAAAAATGGTTACGAGCACATCATTCTCAACATCATCTCCCATCCGAGTTACAATCTTTAACTCCCATCTCAGCATAACGGAAATATTACATTTTTCTCCTTTAAAACACGCTTTTATTTTTATCTGTTCGTGGCTACCGAGTAAGGCCTAAATCAATGTAATTTATAGGAAAACATCACATTACACAAAGTCTTGAACAGTGAACACTTTACTACACTTTTATCTAATCGATTGCAAAGATTGCCGAGATATTTGCACTGGCATGACAAAAAGACGTTCTGAAACACATCTAAAGCCATATATGGCAAAATTGAGATGAACATCATTCTCCTATTACGAAAGATTCATGGTCGGGAAAAGACAAATTTTCGCTTTCGCTTTCGGAAAACACATGACTGTCATCAGGGAGAAAGAAAAGATTCTGAAGAGAGCGAAATATTTCTATTAAAAACCAATTACAAAAACAGCAACAGACTAGATGATAAGATGATGAGAAACCGGAAGGTACAAACAAAGCTGAGGCAATTTCAGATATCCAGCCAGAACTAGCGAGGCGGGAAGAGCTCTGGGAGTAGATAGCATTACCGTAGAACTGACGCAATCAGCACGTGTAGCTTGATCATGATATTAGAGTATTAGTTTCCACCCAGCTTCAAGGAACTGAAATTTTTATATTACTGGATAGAGGTAGGTTCTGCAAAACGGGATAGAGAACATTAAGAAGTACAGGTAGATGAGTTTATTTCAAAGAAGACCTTCACGAACATACTGACAGAATTTTAAATTTAAAAAAACAAACTGTACGCTACATGATCTAATGAATAGGCAGGAATCAACAATCCAGTCAGTACGATGGAGTATCTTAGGGCGATACAGCAAGTAACTCAGACAAGAAACGGATATCAGTTTTTTCTTGGCCTGGGGTTCGTCGATTTCCGAAAAACTATCGACTCAGTGCATATCCGTGCTTTACTGAACTCCTTGAAAAATCGGGGAGTCGAAAATCTGATCACCATGGTTTACAAGCATGCAATTTCAAGTGTAAAGTGTCATGAAGGCACAAAAGAGTACAAAATCTTGAAAAGGGTTCGACGGGGACACGTGATATCAGCAAAACTGTTCATTATGCACCTGATGAAGAGATTTTTCAGACAATCGACAGAGAAAATCAGAGGCAGAACATAAGCGGATGCTATCCAATCCACCTTTGGTATTCCACACTGCAGTCTTCTTCAATAGAATCCAAGAGCAGAACGATGTCAACATCAGTAGGACTGAAAATGAACCTGAAGAAGACTCAAGCTGTTTTTATGAAATACGTGACCACACGATTTGTTGAATTCGATGAACTGAGGTTGAAAAAAATGCAAAACTACATCTATCTGTGACAGATCCTCCATGCAACGGAGGGAAATCAACGGAAGAATGAAAATTGCCTAATGCGCTTTCGAAAGACTGAAAAGGTCCTTATCCGGGAAACTGTACCTGTGCTTGAAACCGGAAGTATTCGACTAGTAGGTGCTCCCAGACTAACCGGGTACAAAGCGTAAACCCCAAGCCTGAAATTTGATCATAAACTGCAGATTAAGCAACGCAGCATGGAATAAAAAGAAAAGAGACAAATACAAATGAATGGAAAAGAGCACAAAAACAGTTTGTGATTTCACTGCCCGAATGAAGAAATTGAAGTGGCAACTGACTATGCACCTGAAAGAAGTACCGAGCACTGCTAAACAGAAAGACATTAAATTTGGAACCAAGGAAAAGTACAAGGGGTACAAGGGGCGTAGGAAAACCTCTGAATCAATGGGCGGATGAGCTGAATAAGTTCGCTGGATCAAACTGAATGAAAACGGCAGGAAACACTAACCTATGGCGAATCATGGAGAGATCTTCATCCAGCAGGCACCAATAAAGGCTAATGATGACAAAATTGCAGGAAATACTGTTAGAAAGAGGAAACACGGTAAGTGAAAGGTCAAAATCTAATCTGTCAAGTTGTACAAGATTGACGATCGATAATGACCGTAAACGACACGTGCAAACTAAGCCTTAAGTACGAGAGCAACTTCTCGCCACCTCTCAGTACGTAAAAATCTTATGTGAGAAGAAATCGGAAATGTAGTGGCGCATGACTAAACGCACAACTTCAAATTATCATAGTTTATCCACTTCATCATCATCATTGTGAGACTGTTAGGATGTCAAATCGTCAGACTGTCAAACTGTCAGAGTTCATCTACTGAAGAAACTGACGGAATATTTACGTCAAAGAGGCATTAATCGTCAAATCTGGCGAAAATGTGCACCGTTACAGCAGACATGAACTCTGCAGAGGGTGGATAAATCTCATCGCACCAAACATTAAATTTAAATGTAAGTACTTAACAAGTGGCAAGGACCAAAGTTTGGCTGTCGGCTCTAATCAAACCGCAGTATCAATCTGTCGCGTTACCACAGCATTAAGCCTTGTTTAATGAAAGTGCCATGCTGCTATTGCTGTCACAAAAAAACTGCAGATACGGAAAGAGAGGTGGGTACAAACGGAAAGAGCGCGGAACAGGTTGTGAATCCTTCGAGTTCCTACTAAAGACCATGGAAAAATTTCGAAAAACTTGACTGACCTCTGATCTACATAGCTTTACATTTTTAAGTCAAGCCACTGTTGATATGGCATTGTGGCATGTTGGCACAGCAGTCAAAGAGGTGTCGAATTCGATTCCGCTGAAGGGCAGTCTGTCTTATTCATGAATTCCCTTAAAGCAAGGAATTTACCATACATTGCTTCAGACCTGGGTTGCTTGGTCGGTAGAGCGTCCCAAGTAAAAGCATTCGGCGGAAGGGTGGATCGCGAGGTTGATGAAAGAGTACCACTTTGTGGGAAGGAAATAACAGGTTACAAGCCATGACTGCCACATGGCTATAGACTAAGCTTTTACAAAAAAATAAGACAATACTGGCTGATGGCATAGGAACAAAGAGCAGCCACTCCATCCACTTCATAGAAAGAAAGGTACCAAAGTGGTCCATTCATTAGAGTGAAGGAAGACCGAAATTCCAATGGTGACAAACTTTCCTTTCTCTTCTTTACCTTTATCTTTATCTGGCACTGGTTAGCTGTCAACAGAAACTTCTGAAAACAAAAAGGAATTGCCGCCTACGTACTTACATAAGCCAATTTTGCGATCGCGTTCGCCTTAAGGGATATGTTATCTTGTCGAAGTTCCTGCTTGATCTCGTCCACACACTGGGCGATGTATCGTCCCTGAAGAAAACAAAAAAACATGTCATTTGATTTAAAGAGAAAAACTTGTGCGAAATGCCCGTCGCAATGCACCTCGTTGTCTTTGTTGTTGCGGATGCCGCGAATCATGTCTGATAGATTTTTCTCGAACATTCGTTCAAAGTTGCCTTTCACTTTGCGAAGGGCGGTCGTCATCTGCACCATCTTGTCACCCATCTTGTCGACGGTCGTGTTCATTGCTCAAGCGTCGAACCAGCCCGATGAGGGGCAGAGCAGCGTGACTTGATTTACTGGTTAGTGCGACTACCACTTAGCGACAAACAGCAAGTCGATCCGCACAGAAACGGGCTACAGCTGTACGCCACATGACTATAAGCATAAAACAAGGGTGAAGATGACGAAACACGTCAATAGCACTGTGTAACGCGTCAAAAACGCCAGAGCAATGAAACTGGAGAAAGCGGACGATCGTCAGCATTGTAACTAAGCAAACGTGCGCCGTTCTGACTGTGACTTCAGTGATCATGTGCTTTGTCAACAAAAGACCCGCTGATTATAACTTCAACATAGAAATTAACTTAACCAGAAGACATTTAAAGCGAAGAGTTTTCAATTATTAGCATGTCTGTTCCAGTTACATTTGCCTGAAGAACATTAATGAACCAATTAATCATTTTTGAAAATGCTAGCAGTAGTTATTAAAGTTTATTTTATTTCGAAGAAGTTTCAAGCTCACCCATACAATGGGCTGGTCAATATCCTGAAGAAGGTACTTACAACTGGTAACAACAGACACACAACATGCTGTGTTGTGCAAGTAAAAACTCAACTGGCCACAAACAGAAGTGGATACCGTTATTGTAAATTTTGACATCATCTCCTTCTTCATTAACATGCCGACCAGAGACAGACTGAAGATCGCAGTACATCGTCTAACCAAAAGAAAATATAATCAGAGTCACCGGCATATGCATAAATTCAACAAAATTTTTGCAATTTTGAAAACCTACATGATCAGGGGAACAGTGTACCACAGGGTTACGTTTCGTTGATCATCGCCGAAATATACATTGAACAAATCATGGAAACTGAACTGGAAGCAGCAGAACTTCGACCACAGTTACAGCACTGGTATGTGGATGACACAAAGGTTTTGTGGCAATCTGGACGTACCCAGCTCGATGACTCTCGGGAACACCTGCACAACATCCATACGAACTCGAAGAAATAAGAAGACTTTCCATTCTAGACGTTTCAGTGTAAGCGGATAGAGATACCGTAAGAACCATCGTCTATATGAAACTTACCCACATCGGAAGATACTTTTACCATAGGTCGCACGCATCGATATTTGTGAAAGCGGACCGATACAAAAGTCACAGCTAAGAAATATAAAGATTTACTCCAACGTTGCAACTTAGCATGACCAGAAAAAACAAACTGCTCAGTGATTTAAGAGAAAACAGCCATCCGGTATTCACCACTCCCGTAGTGAAAGGTATACCTGAAGCTAAAAGAATCAATTACGACCTAGTGGCCTACCTCGCGGAAAAACTCGAGCGGATAGTAGCTCTATACTGATGTTTCCTTACCAGAGTAATCTGATTGAAAGGTTACAATTGTTCATAAACAGATACGACATCAGCACAATATGCCCCTGTAGGACAAGAAACCACAGAGTCCTCTGTGCAAGAAATGGGTCCGACAATAGCAAGAAAACGGTGTGGTAATGTTTACAGTATCGCCTTAACTTTACTTGCAACGTCGCCTATCTCAGACAAACTGAATGGAAACTCAGAAACAGAATACGAGAATAATAAGGCTGCATAGGTCAAGCTGGTAACAGATATTCAGCAGTGGAATGGAATGGAAACGAATCAAAATCTGACCTCATATCTGTCCATTAGCTGAGAAACTGAACTTGCAATAATCACTACGCAGTGGCACATACCGCAACTGACCTCATCCATGACCCATAATGGTCAATGTCTAAAAATAACTCGCAGTAAATAAACTTCAAGAGCACGTGAGTGTAGCTTGCCGATGATGCTGGCTGATCAACTGACTTCAGTAGAGTTCAGATGTGACTTATGGCGCTTATTAATCTCTATTCAAGAAATGGGCACTAAATGAAAGATATGGCCTAACACTACATCGAAAGAAATTTTTAAACTCTAGGTTCCATCGTGCAAGACGTGAATCCAAAGCCTATAAGAAACTTCTTACTTTACCTAATGCACAATTCTGCAAAAATGTTTTTGGTAAAAAACACTTCATGATCAAATACCTGGGGCTGATTGTCAATGGGACCCTTGAATGGGAACAATGAATAGATGTTATGATTAATAAATAACTACGATCGATATGGGTGTTGTAAAGATTGAGCAGGTTATGCGTTGGTTGAGCAATGCTGAAAGATTTAATCAAATATTGCATTCTATTACTGTTCTTCTAAGCTGCAACGGTTCACTTCCATAGTTTCTTTGAAGAAAATACCTGGCTCACCCCCTGAGCCTTTTAAAATCATTTCGTGGAGTCTGTAACTGCGGCGCTGACGAGTTTACTAACATCAAGTCAGCCGTGGGCAGTTTTTTTTCACCGAACCAACTCACCTGCTGTACCGGTGTTTTCCAAAGTAGCACTCGAAGCAGCCAAGCACAAGGTCCTTGCATGCCATGCAGGTGCCGGATTGAAGCATACCGAAAATCAGTCGTTCCGTTCACTCGTTAATATCTGATCGAGCCCATGAAAGAACGGTCATTTCCACCAACCTGCAGTTAATCTAAGAGGGATCCATTTTCACTGCTGATTTTATTGATATTCGTTCATTGCATTATTCAGGATTTGGCAATTTATCGTCAGCCTTGAACTTATCTAAATAAATCTGACTGACTGGCTGGCTGGCTGGCTGACCGACCGACCGACCGACCGACCGACCGACCGACCGACCGACCGACCGACCGACCGACCGACCGACC